GAATATGCAGAAGAATGACTTTTGAATGTTGAGCCTTTCTTCGGCCAGTTCAGAAAAACAGCGCATGAATTCAAAGGTGTGTTAGCTTGTATTCTAGAAAGGTTCGCCTCATAGAAAGTTCAAAGCGACGAGTTACTGAAATACTTCTTATGCTAGTTAACAAGGTCGATTGCAATCGTAAAATTGAACTCGATACATGGAAATTTACTGCACCAGCGAATTTCAGACTATTGAACATGCAAATTTGAAAATGTGGCGTAGAAGTAATTCCATGCCTTTCGAAGTTTTCAAAGGACGCATCAGTATATTTATGCGTCGACAATAAAACACAGAACATTGAACTTCAATAAGGCAGTTTCGACTAAGTCAACTGCATCAGAACAGTATGAACAATACTTCAATAGCAAGTAGCAACTGAAAATTATATTACCTCAAAATAAAAATTTTGCATGAAATTGAATGAAACATCAGTGCTTTGAAAAATTGCCAAAAATTGTTTGACTGAGGCTTCACTTACAAACGTCCAATATTCAAGAGATTTAATGTTAGCAGTCAGGGGCGACTTTCTGAGAAAAATAAAAAAATATCTTACCATCAATTCAACTCCAAACCAAGTTCCAATCCTACGTGGCAATTCACCCATGTAACGTATAACACCGGGTACCGATCTTCCTGATGATAGTAATACAGAGACTGCTCTTCCCAACGAAAGGCGACCACAAACATTTTGAATTTGCTTTGTAAACGTTTTATATCTCAACTCTTGATCAGGAATTGCCAGAAGCAAGGAAGCATCTTCTTCTGAAAGTTCAAACAAATCTTCCTCGCCACATTCAAGACATAGTTCCTCTCTAGCGATTCCAACGAGCGCTATTCTTCCAACTCTTGAAGGCTGTAGATCACGATGCCCATGGTCAGCTTTCGCCAATAACTCACCTCGAAGTGCTTGCTGAAGAATTGGTAGACTCAGTAGTCTCGTTAATGCATGATTGCTTAGTCGCCTGACTGAGTATCCATAACGATTGTTTAGAAGTATGTACCTACTCCTGTGTCCGTCCATATCAAAGACACAAGGAAAACTAATTTTATGTGAACATTTTAAGATCTGCGGTAATCTTTGGAAAGTTAGCAGTAATATTTCATGTATCCCACAACTGAGAACTTCACTCGCTTGGCTTGTTTTCCGGGAAACAGTTGAAATTCGTGAGCGTTTTACGTCACGCCTAAAAATAACGTGTTGTCCCCTGAGACCAGGACAAGGGGTGATCCAGGCGGTGTGTAGTCTCCCTCGCAGCCGTATTTAGGGTCGTCACGCAACGCTCCTCTCCACCAACGGCTGCTCACGAGAGACACACATTCCTTTCTCTTTGTTATTGAAAACCAATAGAATGCACGTTATCGTTATCGGCTACGCCAATCAAATTCCTTCTTAGATTCGCTGGGCACGCGAAACAAAAACAGATAAACACGTGCGCAGTCT